GTGGTCTGGATTCTGCCAACGCCATCGAATTCTGCAAGACCCTCCGTCTGCAAACCGAGCTTTTCGACAGCACAGCTTGCGTGTCCATCTACCAGGCTCCCCAGAGTGCCTACGACCTCTTCGACAAGGTTGCGGTCCTGTATGAGGGTCGCCAGATCTTCTTCGGCAAGGCCACCGATGCCCGGCAATACTTCATTGACCTTGGATACGATTGCCCTGCCCGTGCCACCACCCCCGATTTCCTGACTTCCATGACGAGTCCTCAGGAGCGTCACGTTCGCCCCGGCTGGGAGAACAAGGCGCCCCGTACCCCTGACGAGTTTGCTACCGCCTGGAAGAACAGCGCCAACTACACCGCCCTGCAAGCTGAGATTGAAGAGTACAAGCAGACTCACCCTCTCAACGGCCCCGATGCCGAGGCTTTCCGTGCCTCGAAGAAGGCCCAGCAGGCCAAGGGTCAGCGTGCCAAGTCTCCCTTCACTTTGTCTTATGCCCAGCAGATCAAGCTTTGCCTCTGGCGTGGATGGAGACGCCTGATCGGTGATCCCAGCATCACTGTCGGTTCTCTCATCGGAAACGTCGTCATGGGCCTCATTATTGGAAGTGTCTTCTACAACTTGCAGCAGGACACCCAGAGTTTCTTCCAGCGCGGTGCGCTCCTCTTCTTCGCCCTGCTCATGAACGCCTTCTCCAGTGCCCTCGAGGTAAGTTCTAGAACTGTTTGGCGTTGAAAGGTTGTAATAGCTAACCTGAAACTAGATTCTGACCCTCTACGCTCAACGACCGATTGTCGAGAAGCACTCCCGTTATGCCCTGTATCACCCGTCTGCCGAAGCCGTTGCGTCCATGCTGTGCGACATGCCGTATAAGGTCATGAACACAATCGTCTTCAACCTGGTCCTATACTTCATGACGAATCTGCGACGCGAGCCCGGAGCATTCTTCTTCTTCCTTCTGATGTCCTTCTTCACGGTCTTGACCATGTCAATGATTTTCCGAACCATTGCTTCGTCGTCTCGAACCCTGTCGCAAGCCATGGTGCCCGCCGCCATTCTCATCCTGGATCTCGTCATCTTTACTGGCTTCGTCATTCCCATCGACTACATGTTGGATTGGTGCCGATGGCTCAACTACCTCGATCCTCTGGCATACTCTTTCGAGTCCCTCATCGTCAACGAATTCCACGGTCGCAACTTCGCCTGCTCGGAAAGCCAATTCGTCCCCAGGTCTGACATTCCCGGCTACGCTAATCTCCCATCCGCCCAGCGTGTGTGCAGTGCCGTCGGTTCCGTTGCTGGTCTTGACTATGTCAGCGGCGACGACTACGTTGGTTCTGGATTCCGCTACTCGTATGCCAACCGCTGGCGCAACTTTGGTATCCTCATCGCCTTCATGCTTTTCTTCCTGATGACCTACATGGTTACGGCAGAGTTAGTCTCGGAGAAGAAGTCCAAGGGAGAAGTCCTTGTGTTCCGTCGTGGACACAAGCCCGCTGCCCTCAACGAGAAGCACACTGATGACCCCGAGGACATCCGCGTCGGACCCGTTACCACCGCTGACCGTGCCCGCATCAACGAGAAGAACGATGGTCTCATTGAGGAACAAAAGTCCACCTTCCACTGGAACGACGTCTGCTACGAGGTCCAAATCAAAAATGAGACGAGACGCATTCTGGATCACGTCGATGGCTGGGTGAAGCCTGGTACTTTGACTGCCCTCATGGGTGTGTCAGGTGCTGGCAAGACCACGCTTTTGGACTGCTTGGCTGACCGTACCTCTATGGGTGTCATCACTGGTGAAATGCTGGTTGACGGTTACCATCGCGATGCTTCTTTCCAGCGCAAGACCGGTTACGTCCAACAGCAAGATTTGCACCTGCAGACCACTACTGTCCGCGAGGCTCTCAACTTCTCTGCCCTCCTTCGTCAGCCCGAGCACGTCCCGAGACAAGAGAAGCTCGACTACGTTGAGGAGGTGATTAAGCTTTTGGATATGGAAGAGTACGCCGACGCCGTGGTCGGTGTTCCTGGAGAAGGTCTCAACGTTGAGCAACGTAAGCGTCTGACTATCGGTGTCGAGCTGGTTGCGAAGCCTCCTTTGTTGCTCTTCGTTGATGAGCCCACTTCCGGTCTTGACTCTCAGACTTCCTGGGCTATTCTCGACCTTTTGGAGAAGTTGACCAAGAGTGGCCAGGCTATTCTCTGCACCATTCATCAGCCTTCTGCCATGCTTTTCCAACGTTTCGATCGTCTTCTTTTCCTCGCCAAGGGTGGCCGCACTGTCTACTTCGGCGACATTGGCGAGAACTCCAAGGTCATGACTTCCTACTTTGAGCGTATGAGCGGTATGACTTGCCCTCATGACGCCAACCCGGCCGAGTGGATGTTGGAGGTGATCGGTGCTGCTCCCGGATCCCACACCGACGTCGACTGGCACCAGGCCTGGCGCAAGTCTGAGGAATTCCAAGGCGTCCAGGCCGAACTGCAGAGACTCAAGGACGAGCGCGGTGTTCAGACCCCTGCCACCCACGACAAGGGCAGCTATCGCGAATTTGCTGCCCCTTTCTTCGCCCAGCTCAAGGAGGTTACCCACCGTGTCTTCCAACAGTACTGGAGAACCCCCTCGTACATCTACGCCAAGGCTGCGCTTTGCACCCTGGTCGCTGCATTCATCGGTTTCGTTTTCTTCAAGGCTCCCAACACCCAGCAGGGTCTCCAGAACCAGATGTTTGCCATCTTCAACTTGCTCACCGTCTTCGGCCAACTCGTCCAGCAGACCATGCCTCACTTTGTCATTCAACGTTCCTTGTACGAAGTGCGAGAGCGACCATCCAAGGTCTATGGGTGGAAGGTTTTCATGCTCAGCCAGATCATCGTCGAACTTCCCTGGAACACCCTCATGGCTGCCATCATGTACTTCTGTTGGTACTACCCCGTCGGCCTGTACCAGAACGCCATTCCCGCCGATCAGGTTACTGAGCGTGGTGCGCTGATGTTCTTGTACCTGCTCGTCTTCCTGCTGTTCACATCGACTTTTACCGACTTCATTATCGCTGGATTCGAGACCGCTGAGGCTGGTGGCAACATTGCCAACTTGCTCTTCATGCTTTGTCTCATCTTCTGCGGTGTGCTCGCCAATCCCGACTCCATCCCTCGCTTCTGGATCTTCATGTATCGTGTATCGCCATTCACGTACATTGTTTCAGGCATGTTATCCACGGCTGTAGCCAACACAGAGGTTGTCTGTGCTGCCAACGAGTTCCTCCACTTTGATCCTCCCTCAGGACAAAGCTGTGGAGCCTTCCTCGAGAACTACATCGCGGCTGCTGGCGGATACCTTCGCGAGCCCAACGCCACCACCGACTGCCAGTTCTGCACCATCCAGGACACCAACGTCTTCCTGGCGAGCGTCAAGAGCGACTACAACGATCGCTGGAGGAACTTTGGCATTGCCTGGGTCTACATCATCTTCAACATCTTTGCCGCCCTGGGCTTATACTGGTTGGCGAGAGTACCGAAGAAGGGTGGCCTATTTGGCAAGAAGAAGACTGAGTAAGGGCGTCTTGACAACAAAAGTTTTTCTTTATACGAAAAGGATGAGAAGAAAATGAGAGCAAATGACACAAAATGTGGGAGGGACCATGTGTGTATGAGCTAGCGAGCTGTTTAGAAAGGAGAGCTCGGGTGCAAACCTGGAGAACGTGTTTTGAGAGTCTCTGTCATTACAGCTTGATGCTTCTGTATGGCATTTGTCCACACCTTCTGGAGGACTGGTGAAATATCCATGTCATGTGTAATTTGTTGATATCCTGCATTCGAGATACTGTAGAGACAGTACTCTCCCCATTCTCCTTATTGTTACTCTTAATAGATACCTAGAATCAAGACTTTTTGAACGAATGAGTCCGTCCTTCCCTACATGCGACCTGTGCCAAGAGACGGATGATGCATGCGTGTAGGATAGCCTGTGGAGGTGTCAAGAATGCAGTGAAGGCGACTAATGATGCAAGCTTCGGAGCAAGATTGTTTTGTCATCAGCTCGCACATGCTACATGAAGCGGCCGCCCTCATCTACAACCTCCGTGAAAGTTGGAGGAAGGAGAATAAAATCTGCCCCGCCGTCCTCCCTCTGCGTGAGTTAGAAGTGCAGTGTAGAGACTTTGCGCTTTGGAGAAATGCAAAAATGCGTCGTCGGGTTTGACGATGGGCTTATCACTTGCCAGCCGTGAAGGCCAGGTACTCAGGTAGCGTGTACAACTGACTGAGCAGCTGGGGGTTCGTTTTCTGTAGGTAAAAGTGGAGAATTCCATCATTATGGACATTCGTTAATTGGAACACCGTCCGTACGCCAACGTTGACAACTTCCCATGCGGCCAGCACTACCAGCTGCCCAAGGCCAGCCTGCTTTCCTAGTTGCATATTTTATGCCACAGTTGAATCAGGGCTGCCTACCAGGTAGAACTGGAGTACGATGACATTTAGTAGATCTCTCGAAGACCGAGAGGGTGTCGAAGTCACATAATAACCTTAGGCGTCGAAGGCCAAGTTGACTCGAATACAACGCTCAACCACCCATGCGAAGCTTGTTATCTTTTCGAGAGCATTTCACCTCCCTCGGGAAGGTTTCTTCATAAGGTATGGTGGACTTAGTAAGGTGATGCCTACATATGCACATGTCCTCTTATGAGAAGGCGAGGTCCTGTTAAGGCAGAATTAAGATGCTCTGAAGAGGTCATCAGGTTGCAACCCCAGAGGGCCCTTTGTGGCTTGAAGACTCCTATCAGGCTGATCTGTTGGATGGTAGCGAGACCTTCTGGAGCGGCCAAAAATGCAGTGAATGGTTTCCTGACACCAGATCTGGTTTAGTGACCTTGGCATGTGACCCTACGGATCTATCCTCATACTCATTCGCTCAAAAGGCTCTCTTCAACTCTCATCTCGTCATCGGTGTTCTAAATAAACCCCACGCCGTGAACTTCTCCACAGCCATCGCATCCCGTCTCACTTGCTACAGTCACCCTGCGCTCCAACAGTATACGTAGCCCCCCGGATATCATTCGATCCAGGCGTCCCCTTAGCTTGACTGCGAGCATCCTCTATAGTGAAAGTGCCCGCGAGGAAATCGTTCAAGTTCGCCGAGGTGTTGATGCCGTTGACCCGGTCAATGACGTGGCACTGCTCGTTTTGGCAGCAGCATTGCGGTGTGCCTACGAAATTGGGGCTGCCTCCGGTGATGGCGTCCGGGTCTCTGAAGATTTGGAAGGTTTTGCACTTTTTTAATTGTCTTTCGGCTGAAGAAGCTGGTGAGTTTGTGGGTACGGGTGAGGAAAAGTCTAGATTTACGTACTCAGGTCTCTGCTTGGTAGGACTGAAGAGGCGACTAGGGTGGCGGCGATGAGCGGGAGGATGTAGGTGCACTTCATTGTTGAAGGAATGTTATAATTTCAATTCGCAAAAGGTTGGCTTCAAAGATAGACTTGAGGGAATGACTTATGGAATGGACTCGAGAGATGGACTTGAGAGGTTAACTTGAGAGATGGACTTAAGAAGCGAGTATCACCTTCCATCGTGAGAAGGTTCAGTCAGATGAGACTTTTATATACACTCGGTTTATTCAAATCCTGAGATGCATCGTTGCCCTTTCGCTCGTAAGCCCGACGGCGTTCATCATTTGGAATCGTCATCTCATCCCAGGCCGCTTGGGAAGCTCGGATGATAGATCCAGACTCGAGTCAAACTGCAAGGGTTTGCCAGCTAAGAAATTGACTCGACGACATACTAAAAGTCTTCTGAAAGCTTGATTCCCGGAAAGTCGGAAGAGCGTGCTTATTTAAGGTTCAAGGCAATGCACAAGAGATGACAATTTTTATCTGCCTACCACGTTCCTGAGAAGCGACTAAATTGTGCACGTTCAGCAAGCTATCCGGTGTTAGACCTCCGATGAGAAGAACCCCAGAGAGCAGAGCCACGATGATTCCAGGACGATGGTAATAAGATTTTGACTATTGTTGCAGATGCTCATGTACGCGTACGGATCTCATCATTCCAGGAACACTAACACAGGCGTTCCGGCCAGATTTGGCCACCTTTCCCCAATTGGTGTACAAGCACCAGAGTATTCGTCTCCCATATGGTTTGACGTGTGATGTTCGATGTAATTAGTGCAAAACCCGAGGGACTGAATTTTCGTGTTCGTCCATTCTCTATTGGTACGAGTCTTACATAGAGTACTACAGTTCCAGGGATTAGGGACCATGTGGAAAGTCTCCGATGGGCCGAACACACCATAATTCACCCTACTCGGCTGTTGCCGCCTTGGTCAGAAGTCAAAGCAATTTCATCGGAAGGAATTGAGTTGCCGTTCATCCGTAGGGGCTTGAAGTGCGAATTGGTAGTGCAAAAAAACGTCCATGAGTCGAAAGTGCATTGTCCAAGCCGCGTAAGGGACTGCGACGTGTGGGAACAGCCGCAGCACCATGAAAAGGATGGACTACTTACTTGATTGCATACAAAGCTTGAAATTGACTTTGAGAAAACTTCTGAAGCTAGTAACACCATGAGTCGTTCGTAGCAAGAGTGTCTTGATAACAAGTGGGCATTGAGACTTGACTCGAAAGTCCGACGACCCGACCTAGTTAACCCATGAGTACCCTGGACTCTTCTGAAAATTAGTGCTTCATAAATGAACATGTCGCTGAGACAATTAGCTTGGTCTCTGTGCAGCTGGCTGTGTCAGGTCCACCTTCTCAGCTTTGCAGTTTCTGAAGTGCGACCTGGGGCGGGGTAAAGGTGCAATGAACTTCAACATTGGCAGTGGGACATACGGCACCACTAGTGTTGCCAATGCTGCTAGGCCCTCTATGTAAAGCTCCTCAACCGCTGTGATCCCCTTTTTGGGGGTCAAAAAATTGCAGTGAAGCACGAGTAATTTGGCCTCAATTTGCCGCCATGGTGGCGGGAGATTGGGAGTGTCCCAATAAGGGACATCGGATGAAGGAGAAGCCCTCGGGGGGAGCTAAAGTTGCAGTGAAGAGTCGCCACATGCCGCCTGATAGTGATCTGGCGACCTACATTGGCGCCGTCGATGCGCGGCTGAGCGACATTGACTTGCATCACAGTCAGGAATGAATGAGGCTCGCAAAATGTCGCGGACAGGATGGGGTATCTGAGTCTAGAACAGGTCTGCTTCTGTAAACAACCTGGATTATGGTGCGTCTATTCTTACTCTCTGTTTTGGAGCTTCAGATAAGAACATGAAGTTAACCAACAACGAAGACATTGTTAATACTAGTCGAGAATATCACACACCCCCTGTCAAGCGGATTACTGAATAAATGGGAGCATTTCCTCGAACATAAATGATCCTTTTGGAGAGGCATGATCGTCATCAGTTTTGGAGGTCAGTTATCCACAAGCGCGCTCAGTCATACTGATCTAGACCATGACGGGAGACTCAAGATGAAGACATTGAAAGAAATCCTATTTATGAGCTGAATGTATACTTCTATCTGATTTAGCCAAATCCCGAAAGTCACCGTATGCGCCCCTCCCAGTGACATCCCTCTATTATCCTTTCTCAAGAAGATAGCTAGATTATTATCATCACAAAGAAGAGTGCCTCTAGCTTCTCAAGCTAGATATCCTTGACTAGGTGGAGAAGAAATCATAAAACAAATCGTAGCTAGATGATCAAGCAGATACAATAGACTTTGCAATCTCCTGGACCAAAGCCTTCACCTCCTCGGTCGAGTGCTCCTTCAGACCCAATAGGTCGTTCTGCACGCTTTCGTAGCCGGGCTTCGCCTCCTCAGTCTGCGAGGCGCGAATAATGTATCCCAGCCATACCCACTCGTCAAAGATACCCTCAGAGAGAGCCTTGTCTGACTTAGCCTGCACGTCTGCCGTATTCTCCTCTGAAATTGCCCAGCCATCGGCGCCCGTCACTCCCTGCGCGGCCTCCACAATCTCGCGCTTTGTCAGCTTTCCGTCGTGAATGCGAACCGTCTGGTTCTTCGTCGCATCGGGGTTTCTCAGTACGCCAACAACAGCCTTTCCGACAGTCGAAAGCCTCGTCACACTAATGGGAAATGAGCCTCCGTTGTAGATGGTGGCCTTCTTGCCAGCCACGTCGGCAATGAAGCCGACATTCAGACCCCAGTCGAGGAAGAGGTTGTTATAGATGAACGTGTACGACAGGCCCGTCTCTGACGCTCGCTTCTCGAGGAGGTCCTCGATCTTGACCTTGTCGGCGAATACCGGTAGTGTACGAGCGAGGGGGTTCTGCAGGTCACTGCCGAACTCTGAAGGAATGAAGCGAGTGACGCCCGCGTCGATGGCGCCCTCGATCACCGTCTCCTGGAGAGAGAGTCCAGCTGATCCAATGGTGCTGACGACGGCTTCTTGGCCCTTGAGCGCGTCCGCAATGGCGGTCTTTGATGAGAAGTCGACGGCGACTTCTTTGACTTTCGATGAGAGTTCCGTGGGGAGCTTTCCTGTGGTGCGGGAGAGCACAGTAACCTCGAGACCGGCGTCGACGAGCTCTTTGAGAACAGCCGTGCCTAGGGAGCCAGCAGCCTAGTATCTGTGAGCAGCTGATTAAACATTTGGATCTTACAGGACTTACGCCAATGTGAGCAATACGGGTCAGAGAGGGCATTTTTGCGTTGAATAGTTGAGACAGAAATAGAGTTGATACCCAGCAGTCTTAATCGAGTGGAATTGGTTGTGGTTGAGAGATATCGTCTTGTTATTCTATGGTGTATAGCCAAGTAGCCCAGAAGAAAGTGCGAATAACAGCTCTCATATGTAGTTGGAAATAAGGTTCCGAGTCATAACCTTGGTATCGAGATTATTGATGTTCCGCAAACGATCGTGGCGTTATTCGAGCCGTGAAGTAGACCGGATGTATTTTGGTTCCGGACTTCTAGAAGGCTTACTGCGAATCGGAAGCAAAATGGTTTTTTTAGCGCAGACGGACCGAGAAAAGCACCTCAACTCCGTCGAACAGAACCAAAGCAATTTGACTGCTTAAAAATCTCGGACCCAGAATGATGATAAACCTGACGGGCAGAAACCTTATCCTTACTCATAGCGAGGAGTTAGGTTATGCTTAAAAGTAAGACTTCCCTCCTACTCTCAGTCATGGGCGAACGTTGCCTCTTCTGCTCCTTGTCAACGTCTATCCCTTTTCAGACTCAGCGTGGTATAGACTTAAAAGCAGGTTTGTAACAATAATGCTAGACAATCGCCTCGTTTGTTACTGCTCCTGAGAGGGTCTCATGAACTATAATTGTTGTGCGGCTGTGATTGAAGACTCCGGGGCGACGATTCTATTACATTCGCTGTGTTGACTCTGGTGAGTTCGCTGCCATTACTATTGCTCAATTGCGTTATGCAATCTATGCGAATGATGGTACTGTATTGCTGGAGCTGATCGCCGAACTCAAGGTGCCAAGATAGTCCACCAACACATCGTCATCCTTGTGCAGATCTTGCTGCACCCAAATGGACTGTATGGTATTCTTGACTGCTTGTATGCTTCGTATTCGAACATCTCTTTGGGTTCTTTCGATCAGATTGATGATGCCGATCCTCTGTTCGTCACGTTGTGCCTCGCAAGCAAGAATCAGTAGAGGAAAGAAGTGCTCGCAGGTGCATGACTGAACAGGTCCCGCGAAAGCCGCCTCCACCAGAGCATCAAGGTCCGCAGGGGGTTCCCATGGGCTTTGCGAGGCTCGTACAAGATAGATCTGAGTCGCCATCTGGTACAGTTCGATAGCGAAGGCGGCCTCCGGATCTGAAGCCGATGGGATGGCTGGTTTGACAGAGATATCTCGGACCCTTCCGCCAAGGTTCTTGAGCTGATTCTGGTAGCTTTCGTCCTGACTTCGAGGATCCCGAGGATCTACTAGCGTGTCGCAAACCTCGGAAAGCAGGTTGAGAATCGCATAAGTCGGATTCACGGGCGGTAAGTTCTGCCAGGGCTATCAGGGGGGAGCAACAGACGGTCATGAGAGAATGAACTTACGGGTCTATATCTCGTCAAGGGTGGATACTGGGGATTTTGAAGTATTGGGTTCTGCTTGACTGATGTCGTAGGAACGAAAGACTTATGGCGCCAATGGTGCAAAGCGAACCGAGATTGGGTCTCATGATAGTAAGCCCAGCTCAACAATTGACCAACGTCGCTGTCATGCGGTTCGTCCTTTAGACGAGTGGCGTGAATCATGTCAACAGCCCCCCATGTGTGCAAAAGCCACTCGCCCGAGCCTTCCGAAGGTTGCATTATCTATACAATAGAAATGGATTAGAGAAAGAGGCAAAAAAATGGCGATGAAGCTGTCACTCGCCTCAAAGGCTCCAAGAACCATAGACGCGGCCACGTGCTGCGCCGCTCTCCCCAAGATCAAGGCCTCGCTGGTCACTGAGGCTGATAAATAGTGAATTGCCTGTATCTTTAGCTTCAAGGCTTGTTCATTGAGCCCATGGCGATGTAGTGAAGCATAAGAAAGTAATGCATTGAGAAGAGCAAGTCCGGAATTCGAATCTTTGGCTAGGGCCATGCTCATGAGCGCGTTTCGAATTTTCCAGGTATTTTGACCAAATGTAACCAATGACCTGTAGGCAAAGTTTTGAACTAGAACAATTATCAACCATGAAGACCAGAGCTTGATATTATGTGTGTCTAAGCTTACAGTGATGGAACAGGTCTATGTCCATAGAACATGAACCGACTCCAACTTGGGGCTGCCTCAGGAGCCTTGGAAACGATGGCGTTGTATGGCAGCCCTGGCTCTGCAGGGACGAGTAGCCATACGATTCCATGTGATGCGAAGTTGCATTCACGAAAAAGGGATTGACGACAGTTTGGTTGGACCGTTTAATGGCCGTCACTGCTGGTGCTTCAATACTCTTGAGCGCTCGTTTGTTGTCGCCTTCCCTCGGCCACGACAATCGAAGCTCGTATCCTTCACATTTTCGCTGGGATCTGTCACACTTCATGCAGGTTGGCAAAGCCCCGTCGCATTGAATCTTACGAGCTGAAGACGCGTCATAAGCAAAGTCCAATCCAGATACCTGCATGCGTTACTGACCTGTGCACGTCCAGCAGCACTTTCGTGCCTTCATTGCGGCAACGGGTGGGCCGGCATCTTCTGGTGAGACCAGACTTCAGTGGCCACCGTTGTCGGGTCGAATCGGTAGATGTCGCAGTTCTCAATGTGTCACGAGAATCCCAGAAGCTTAGGCTCGGAGAAAGTTGCTGTCGCTGGGTCGCTGACATTTATGTAGTCGCATGCAGGCAAGTAAGACTAGCCATTTGTAAGCTATCCTCTAAGCCTCTTAAAGATGCATTACGAAAGGATCCCCAAATCCTTCCCATCTATCACTTACCCCACAGGAAGCAACTTTTATCGAGGCTAAGAGCTTTGTGCATCTCGCCGCTTGTCCGTTTTAGGCGGTTTGCTGACTTCGGACTTCACTTTCACCCGTCACCTCTTGCGACAAACGCCACGATTGGGCGCCAGCAAATCCTCAGTATGCGCAAGTCGCTGAGTATTATGAATCAAGAGAAGCGACGTTTCGTTGCTACAGAATCGGTGCAAGAAGGCTTTGACCTAGATATAAATGATCGCTTTCGACCTCGCAATGTTGAACAGAAATTCATCTCAGAGTCATCCACAGCATCACTTTTCTGCTCTTCCAATACCTTCAAATCACACCAACCATCTATAAGACACAGTCAACATGACTACCTATCTCATCACCCAAGCAACTGGCCAGCAGAGCCGCTCGGTCATCTCCCATCTTCTCCAAGCGGGTGCCAAGATCCACGCAATGGTTCGCGACCTTCAGAAAGTCCACCCCAGCCTTCAACATCCCAGCATCACCCTCTTCCAAGGAGAAAGCAAGAACTTGGAAGATGTTCTTCAAGCGGCCCAAGGCTGCAAAGGAGCTTTCCTCAACACGGTCCCATACCCGGGTCTGGAGGCCTTGCAGGCTAAGACCATCGTCGAAGCATGCCAGAAAGCCGGCATCGAAACTGTGGTCGCAGCTACGACCCACGGCACAGGGAACAGAGCCTTCTGGGATGATGATATCATCAAGGAGCTCCAGCTACACCAGTACTTCTCCTCCAAGGCAGAAGTCGAGGAAATCGTGCGGGCCGGAGGATTCACATCGTATACCATTCTCCGTCCGGCTGTCCTCCATTTCGACTTCTTTGTGCCGGGTGCTTACGGCAACTTTCCTCGGCTCCCTACTCATGGAGAAATTGACGACGTTCTTCTCAACGGTGCTCGTGTGCCTTACACGGACGCCAACGACGTTGGAAAGTACGCCGCAGCAGCCCTGCAGGACCCGACCAAGTTCAATGGCCAAGAGATCAATATGGGAAATGAACTTCTTACCATGGAGGAAGTGCGTGACATTCTCGTCAAAGTCAGCGGCAGAAAGGTGGGAGTGACCAAGCGAACTCCCGAGGAGCTGGAAAAGCTGGGGATCAGCGTATTTGGCCAGAAGTTCCATCAAATGTCCAATGTGAAGGATCTCGGCTGGGGTATTGAGTCTTCAAAGGATGTCGGGGAAATGTTCGGCATGCCTCTGGGTTCAATTGAAGAGGCATTGCAGAGGGACAAGGCTCTGCTCCTGGAGTGCTTGCCCGAAAATTAGCCTCGCGGAGAGGTTGGATCCGGGATTTGCCATTTATACAGTAGTAACAGTACCTTAGCTCATCGAGCGTGTTTAACATATTCCATCATGTTGTCGCATTTCGAATCAAGTATGATGTCAGAAAACGCAAGACTTCATGACTACTGAGTGTCTATGGTACGGGGTTCTATAAATTGAAAGTACCCTGTCTTCCTCCCGTGACCGTGTTTTATCGTGTTTTCCCATAGGATGACGACAGCTCATCCCGTGGCTGAAGGTGACCCAACCTCTCGTTCTCTGCATCGTCGCGATTTGAATGACTGGTGTAGCGGAGTCCGGCACCGGCGCTGCCCCACGGAGACGGGGCTGTGGATGAATCAAGTGATTTACTTTGAATTTAACCGTAAACTCAGAAAGCCCGTCATGACTAGCAGCAATGCGACGCTTGGATAAGGCCATTGCAGGGCCCATCATCGACGCAAAAAGATACGTCGAGAGTATGTATCAACTCAACTGTTATTTCCTTGAACGTGATTACTTTCCAATGCTACAGAAAAGATCCTGACGTTTCGCTCAGGCAATCGAGGAATGATTGCATCATTCAGACTGCAGCGGGCCTGCCAAGGAGAGGGGACACAAAAAACATGCTGCGATAATCTAACGATGCCGGCGTACTAACCAATCCAAGCATCGTCTGCCGGCACTTCCCCATCATGTTTTTTGTTGTATGCGGGGAAAGTGGGTATAAACAACTTCCAAGGTTGTAGATCACCACTCCAGAATCCAACGCTTCGGGTCAATACTACCCGCCAAAATGTAATAAGAAGCGGCTATCCGCATCAGCCGGTGGGATGTAGGTTCTTGATGTTCTCCCTACAACGTGAATGTGACGATCATGGGAGTGCTTTACAAGTATGCCATTGGCCTCAGTGGCGCCATGGCCGGACTATCCGGACTTGCGCAAGCAAACGACTTCACGCCATACGTCGACCCATTTCTTGGCACCGAGGGCCCAGAGCCTGGGTCATCTTATCAAGGCGGGAACACGTTCCCCGGCGTAACACTTCCGTTCGGAGCTGTGAAAATCGGTATCGACACTACGAGATGGGATACCAGGTATCAAGCCAATGCAGGCTATACCGTCGAAGGAAATGTCACAGCGATTTCCATGTTGCACGTCAGCGGCACGGGAGGCGCTCCGACTTACGGGCTGATCCCACAAATGCCTCTGACAACCTTGGAAGGGGTCAATCTACTCGACAACTTGACTTACATGCAGCCAAGGGCTGAGCACGATGTTGCCGAGGTCGGATACTACAAGACGTCTCTGGCAAGCGGCGTCATAGCTGAGATGAGTGCCAGCATGCACGTTGGCATTATCAAGTATGAGTTCCCTCGCGACGGTGGCCGTCACATCTTGGTAGACTTGAGCCACTACCTCCCAACTCGTGGCAAGGAGTCTCAATGGTACAGCAATGGTCTTTTGGAACGCAGCGACGATGGTTCTTCCTACACTGGTTATGGTGTGTACAGGGAAGGCTGGTCTCTTGGTGAGTTAGTATGCGGTATGTCTTGAAGATGAAAGCTCACGTTGACTCGGGAAGGCGGCGACTTCAAGGTCTACTTCTGTGGACAGTTTGATAGCGTGCCTGAAGACGTCGGACTATTTTCTGGCATCTACACGGACCCGTATTGGCCGAATACTACAGATGTCAAACCATTCTATAATAACGACACGTCGATTAAAGGTGGCGTGGATGGATACCAGTATGCCGATCGAGTTGGAGGCATCTTTACGTTTCCATCTAGTGTCGCTACCCTGACATCCAAAGTTGGAGTTTCGTGGATTTCGTCCGAGAAAGCTTGTCAATTCATCAAAGATGAGATTCCCCACAATGACCTTAACCAGACGGTCAGCGACGCAAAGTCTCAATGGAACGAAGAAGTACTCTCCAAGGTTGATGTCAAGACTGAGAACCAGACGCAGTTAGAAATGCTGTACACTGGACTTTACCATGCGCACCTGATGCCTTCCGACCGAACTGGCGAAAACCCTCACTGGGCGACTGAAGAGCCGTATTACGACGACTTTTACACGCTTTGGGATACCTTCCGCTGCACTCATGCACTAATCTCGTTGATCTTACCCAGCCGTCAGGTTGATATGAGTAAGTATTTGGAGTCCCAATGCCGATGACAGATGCTTACAAAATCAGTCCGAGCCATGATTGACATCTGGCGGCACGAGCGATTCCTGCCGGAGGGTCGCAGTCACAACCACAATGGCCGTGTTCAAGGCGGCTCCAACTCCGACAATGTCCTCGCAGATGCCTATGTCAAAAAGCTTGACACTAACGGGCTCATCAACTGGGCGGATGGGTATGCCGCCGTACGAACTAACGCCGAGATACAGCCATACAACAACTTTGATTTCAACGACCCAACAGGAAGCACCAAGGAGGGAAGAGGTGCCTTGGATGACTGGAAGAAATATGGGTACGTATCTGTTAACTATGGCAGAAGCGTAAGCAAGACCGTCGAGTACTCTCTCAACGACTTTGCTGTGTCGCAAATTGCCAAGGGTGAGGCACCTGAGGAGGCGGCAACCTATCTGAACCGCTCGACGTGAGTTTTCTTCTCCTTACCTATGTTATGAGGAACATTACTTACGGTATCAGTGGCTGGCAAAAGATCTGGCTCAAGGATGCTAAGGCACTCAACTTCACCGGCTTTCTCGCTCCCCTCGAACCCAACGGTACAGTTCTACCAGGCTATAGCCCACTCGAATGCGGAGAATGTAATTGGCAGGCCATCTCTTATGAAGGCACGCCATGGGAGTACAGCTTCACTGCACCGCACGACATGTCCACCCTGATAACCTTGATGGGAGGTCCCGTCAGCTTTGAGCATCGACTCGACACGAGCTTCATACCCGGCTTGGCCGAGCAGGATCAAGGAAACAACGGAATCGGAGATATGATTTACAACCCCGGAAACGAACCCAGCTTCATGACACCGTTCTTGTACAACTACGTCGGACGCCGGCAATGGAAGAGCGTGATGAGAAGCAAGCATATTGTAGACGACTATTACCACGTCGGTGCGAGCGGTATCCCCGGCAATGATGATGCGGGAAGTATGAGCAGCTGGCTCGTGTGGAACATGCTCGGCCTGTATCCGGTTGTCACGCAGCCTGTCTATCTCGTTCTTTCGCCACGATTCGAGGAAATTACTATCCGTCTGGGCTCGGATGGCGGACTCTTACGGATCACCGCAACTGGTCTTGAGCAAGGCCCGTATGTTCAAAGTCTGAAGGTTAACGGAAAGGAGTGGAACAAGAGTTGGGTCACTCACGATGACCTACTTGGGGAGAACAAGCAGGGGGGTCTGCTTGAGTTTGTGTTGGGCGCGGAGCCCGCGGAGTGGGACTCGGGCGAGTTACCGCCCAGCCCGGGTGCCCTTTGAGAGCTCGAATTGCC